GGAAAAATGAGTTAATAATAATAACAGCAGCTAATACTTATGTAGTGCTTACCATGTTCCAGGTCTATTGTGAGTACACATATATATATATATGTACTCACAATATAAGTATTAAATTATATATATATATATATAATTTAATCTTTGATCCTATAAGGTAGATATTATTGTTACCCTAGTTTATGGATGAAGAAACTGAAACACAAGAGATTGCCACTCGTACAAGTTTACATAGCTAGAAAATAGAAGAGCTATGAGTTGAGCTCAGCCCAGTATGTCTGTGATTTTACAGACTCAAAATTATAAGATTTCCTAATCTTCGATTTCTAAAACTCTGCCTTGCTCTAGAGGAAAACAAGAAAAACAATGAAAAATAAATATCTCTTTTTTACAAAAATTAAAACAGAACAAACTGCAATAAAACAACAGAAGATGAACCCAGAATGTGATTGATTTTTTTTCTTCCTAGGAAAGGATCTAGAGGCCAAAGGGCTGGATTTTTCAGGATCTCCTTTTAATCAATGAATCTGTGATAGAAGCAGATGAATCAAATCTCATCTTTGTGTGATTATAAAGCTGCCTGTGGTATTCACGCCACCAGAGGTACATAAAGGTCACGGAGTGAGATTTGGCAAAAGTACTAAGGGCCTGTCCACCTATATATGCCCTTCTCAGGAAAACCAAGGTTCAAGCTCTCTATTAGCTCAACTGGTAAGGCGTATGATACGGAAGGTTGAGACCCAGTGTTAGAAATAGATGGTTACATAAAACTTCATCGAGTTAATGTCACTTTTTCTTCCTTATTTATAGGAAGTACATTTGAAGAACGCAAGTAGAGGGAGTGCAGGAAACAAGAACTACAGAATGTAGGAAGACCCTCCTGAGGAGTGAAGAGTGACATGCCACCGCAGGATCCTTTGCTCTGCACGAGTTACCTGTTAAACTTTGGAACACCTACCAAAAAATAAGTTTGATAACATTTAAAAGATGGGCGTTTCCCCCAATGAAATACACAAGTAAACATTCCAACATTGTCTTTAGGAGTGATTTGCACCTTGCAAAAATGGTCCTGGAGTTGGTAGATTGCTGTTGATCCTTTATCAATAATGTTCTATAGAAAAGAAAAAAAATATATATATATATATATCTTAGTCCCTGCCTCTCAAGAGCCACAAATGCATGGGTGTTGTATAGATCCAGTTGCACTAAATTCCTCTCTGAATCTTGGCTGCTGGAGCCATTCATTCAGCAACCTTGTCTAAGTGGTTTATGAATTGTTTCCTTATTTGCACTTCTTTCTACACAACACGGGCTGTTTGTTTTACAGTGTCTGATAATCTTGTTAGTCTATACCCACCACCTCCCTTCATAACCTTTATATTTGCCGAATTTGGCCTCCTCAAAAGCAGCAGCAAGTCGTCAAGAAGCACACCAATTTCTAACCCACAAGATTCCATCTGTGGCATTTGTACCAAATATAAGTTGGATGCATTTTATTTTAGACACAAAGCTTTATTTTTCCACATCATGCTTACAAAAAAGAATAATGCAAATAGTTGCAACTTTGAGGCCAATCATTTTTAGGCACATATTTTAAACATAGAAAGTTTCTTCAACTCAAAACAGCTCCTTCAAATGATGAGTTAATGTGCAACCTAATTAGTAACTTTCCTCTTTTTATTTTTTCCATATAGAGCACTATGTAAATTTAGCATATCAATTATACAGGATATATCAAACAGTATGTAAAACTCTGTTTTTTAGTATAATGGTGCTATTTTGTAGTTTGTTATATGAAAGAGTCTGGCCAAAACGGTAATAGGTGAAAGCAAAACAATAGGGGAAGCCTGGAGCCAAAGATGACACAAGGGGAAGGGTACTGAAAACGCCATCCATTTGGGAAAGAAGGCAAAGTCCCCCCAATTATGCCTTCCAAGAGGAACTTCAGACACAAAAGTCCACTGATGCAAATTGGACTGGCAAGTCCAGAGAGGAAACTGTGGAATGGAAAAAGCAGAAGGCTAGGAATTTTAGCAGTCCTGGTTTCTTTTTCTCACTGAAGAAACAAACATCTGCCAGCTGTGTCATGGACTCACCACTGTGTGACCTTGGGCAAGTCACTTCACCTCTCTGTGCCTCAGTTTCCTCATCTGCAAAATGGGGGCAATATGTCATCTACCTACCTCAAAGGGGTGGTATAAGGTTTAAAAAGATAAAGATTCAGATTTTTTTTACCCTGGGTTGCTGTAAGGGTGCAACATCAGGGTGCTTGAGTTGCTGAGATGCAAGGAATTCTATAAATAACCCATTCATAGCATAGCTAGAGATTGGTGAATTGAATGCTCCTGACATCTCAGTTCTTGTCAGTGAAACTATCCAAATAACTGGCCAACTAACTAGTTGTTAAAAGCTAACAGCTCAATCTCTTTTAAAACACTTTTTAAAATATGTGAGAAGCATGTGATTTTCAATTTGATTTTGAATTCTGCATTTGGTTTTATGAATACAAAGATAAGTGAAAAGAGAGAAAGGAAAAGAAAAAAGGAGAAAAACAAAGAGATTTCTGCCAGTGAAAGGGGAGTTAATTACTCTATTTGTTAGCACTCACTGACTCTTCTATGCAGTTACTATATATCTAGTAAAACCTTGTTTAATACTATAAATAATATTCTATTCATTTTGAAAAACATGATACTTCCTTCTTTTCTAGGCAATATAAGGAAAATGACCCCAAATTTGAAATATTAAAATAATATCTAATAAAAAGTCACAAAGTTATCTTCTTTAAAAAACTTTACCCTTATTCTTAGCTGTATATACATTTTTTTAAAATTGTGTTAAAACTTGCTTGACTAGAGTTGCCAATTGAAAGGCAAAAACTTCCATCAAAACAAGAAATTTCCCATGCCTGCTTAGAAGGGTAGCCCCTAGCTCTCTGTGAATGTGTTTTATCTATTTAGCTGAAAATTGGTATCAAGAAAGTCCACTGGTTAGTGTACTAGTCCATCATAGCCTAGAAAATGATCCCCATCTGTAGATCAAGATTTTCTCATTAGAACAATGAGTTACCCAACATTCAGATCTTTTTATTCACCTTAGGACTTTTTGGTTAAAAGTACCCAGGCTTAATTATTTCATGCAAATTGTATATTTTACATTCTTGGAAAGTCTATATGAAAAACAAAAAGAACATCTTCAGTTTTTCTCCCACTGGGTCACCTCAAGGATCAGAGGCCAGGAAAAAAAAGACTCCCTGGATCTCTGAATATCTGCAAAAAGAAGGCTGCATTTAGTGGAGCCAGCACTCCTGTTCAGTCAACAAGTATTTTAACTCTCAGTCTAACATTATTTGAATTGAGCACCTCAAGCATGCTTAGCAATATTCCAATCACTATGGACAGATGTAAAAGAAACTATACATCATTTTTGCCCTCTACCTGTTTTCCAGACATACAGGTTCTGTGGAATAAGATACTGGACTCCTCTTCCCAAGATGGCACTTCTTTTTATTTCTTGTCCCCAGTGTGTACCTTTTAAAATTATTCCCTCTCAACAAAACTTTATAGGCAGACTTCTGCAGACTTACGTGTTTTCTGTCATAGTTAGATGTGATCATTCTGAGACTGTCTATGACTTATTTCCTTCACTTAATTCTATCCACAGTCAAAAATCCCCCAAGGAGAAAAGCTGAAAGATGCATTGCCATATTATCTTTCTTAACTTTTTCCAACACATAATCCTCCCCAACTGGATCATAAATAAATTGAAAATAACTCATTATACCAATTCACTATTTTATTTTTTAATGAATTAACACTAGAAGACAAATTGATGCAAACCCTAGAAGTCAGTCGATTACTGTATACTCCAGCAGAATGACTCGGATTTCATAGAAAGGAGCAAACAAAATATCACAACCCAAAATTTTACAAGCTTTGCTTCAGAATTAGATTGCTTTATAATTCTTGAATGAGGCCATTTCAAGATATTTGTAAAAGAATGGTAAACATTGGTAGGAATGAGCTTTCAACTCATAGGTTTATTTCCAATTTAATTGACCATCCTCGATACTTAGGTCAAATTTCTGTTCTCTCTTCCCCAAATAGTATCAAAGTATTATTTGAACTTTTTAAGATGAGGTGGTTCCCCTGAAAAGTTAATGCAGCGCCGCATCAGAATCCACTCTTCTAGGGATATGAAAATCTCTCAACACCCACCCTACATACACAGACACAGACGCAGATACAGACACACACACACACAGACACACACACACATTCACTCTAAGGATCCAATGGGATACTGAAAAGAAATCACTTCCTTGGAAATTTTATTAAAAAACAAACAAACAAAAGCCTGTCTTCCCTTGAGAATCCTTCCTGTCCTTGGAACATCAATCTTTGTGTAGATGAAACCATCTCATGCTCTATGGCTCCAGGGTTTCTGTTACTATTTCATGCACTTGGGAGAAGGCTTAGAATAAAAGATGTAGCACATTTTGCTTTCCCATTTATTGTTTGGCCAGCTATGCCAATGTGGTGCTATTGTTTCTTTAAGAAAGTACTTGACAAAAAAAAAAAAAAAAGAAAAAAAGAAAAAAAAGAAAGCATAGACATATTTTTTTAAAGTATAAAAACAACAATTCTATAGATAGATGGCTTAATAAAATAGCATTAGGTCTATCTAGCCACCACCACCTTTCAACTTTTTATCACTCACAAGTAGTGTACTGTTCACCAAATTGTGAATTTGGGGGTGCAGGGGCAGGAGATGGAAATTTTTTAAAGTTAGAAGGCTCCATTGTTTTGTTGGCTCTCAAACTTAGCAAAATTAGCAATATATTATCCAATCTTCTGAACTTGATCAAGAGCATGGAGAATAAATGTGGGAAAAAAGATCTTACAGCCAAATAGAAGAACTTAAAAGATAAGTAAGTTCCTTATTGATTTTTGTGCTCTCTGCTCTAAAACAGATACTCAGCAAGTGGAGAAAATAAGAACAAAGAGAAAAAAATACATAGATTTACCTGTAAAAAAAAAAAAAAAAAATAGCTTCTGCCAAATCCCCCTTGGGTATTTTTTGGCATTTACTGGTTTATAGAAGATATTCTCCCTTCACCCAGACATCTCAAAGAGCAGTAGCTCTCATGAAAAGCAGTCACTGATCTCATTTGGGAAATGCTGGAAAGTATTTCCTTGTGAGATGGGGGTTATCTACTGATAAAGAAAGAATTATGAGAAATCGTTGAAAGAGATGGCTAACAATCTGTGAAGATTTTTTGTTTCTTGTTTTTGTTTTGGTTTTTT